TTAATCTGTTTCTCTCCATTTAGGTAAAGTATTTTCAGGTCACTGATGCATTTTTAATGTGTCCTCCAAGGTGTCAGGTTTAACTGCCTGCAGTCTTACAGAGTTCAGTGCTCTTTAGTTAAAATTAATGATATCTTTGCCAAAAGTAGTATTGAAATTACTTCATTCAACCAATGGATAAAGTGTTTCATATTTCATTAAAATCATGCTAAGTGATTATATTATTAAAAGATATGTTTCTGGCTGGGTGTGGTGGCACATGCCTTTAATCCCAGCACTTGGGAGGCAGGTGGAAATCTCTGAGTTCAAGGCCAGCCTGGTTTACATAGTGATTTCCAGGACACCTGGGGCTATAGGGAGGCCCTGTCTCAAAAAGACCGAAAAAAAAAGTCACTAAAAATGATGCAAGCTTTCAAGTAACAGAAGATATAGTAGCAAACATTTTTTTTTGAGACAGGTCTCACTATGTAGCCCCAGTTGGCCTGCAGCTCCTTATGTAGACCATCTCAGACTGGCCTGGCTCTCACAAGGATCCTTCTGCCTCTGTCTACCATGACCTGGGATTAAAGGCATATGTGACCATGCCCAGCAAAAGGGCAAAATTTTAAAGAAAACAAAAATTTTAGGTTGACAATATGAATTTTGACATGTACATCTTTATATCAATTCTACAGCATTTTTCTTTTCTCTTGAAATAATATTTTGTTCTTGAACTTTTCATACATGTATATATTTTGATCACATCTACTCCTACTACTTCACTCTGGCTCTCCCAGATCTTTCACAACACATCTCTCACCTAATCAGGTCCTCTTTTTAAAAAAAATTAATAATCCATAGACTGCAACCAGCATTATCCATATATGAATTGGTATGAGGCCATATACTGAGGCAAGAGTAACCCACCACAGGCCATACTCCAAAGAAAAGCAACTCTCCCTTAGCAGTCATCAACTGCCAGGGTTTGGGCCTTGGAACCACCTCCTTCAAGAAGTATTTTTATATAGTTGAAGTAATTTATCTATTTATTTTTATCTTTTTGAGACAGGGTCTCCCTGTGGTCTGAGCTGGCCTGGATTCACTATGGAGACCAGGCTGGCCTCAAACTCCAAGAGATAGCCTGCCTCTGCCTCCCAAGTGCTGGGATTAAAGGCGTGCGCCACCATACCTGGCTAGTTGAAGTAATTTATTCAAAATAATGTTTATTTATTTTTTTATTTGAGACAGGGTCTCACTATTTAATGTAGGCTGGTCTTAACTCATGATCCTCCTGCTTAATCCACCACTATGCTTAGCAGTGCCTTGTTTACTATTGTCTCATCATAACTCATAGATAAACTCATTTTTCCAGGTTGAAAACATACACAAACAATGTTGAATAAAATCCAAGCTACTTTGTAGAGATATTTCACTATTTTGTTTCCAGTTTTGGTTTGATCCCACAAAATTATTCAAAGAAGACATATAAATCTTCTATTTTGAGCTTATGAAACTTTCTTGATGAATAATTTAACCTTAGAATAAATTACCAATGATACGCTTTTTCTAAAGAATAAAACATTGCAATAACTCAAAGTGTTACCCCTTCTGTGCCAAAATTTATTTTGCCACATAAATGTAACACCTTGACTGCAGTAATTATCTACTTGCCCAAGTTTAGTGAAACACTGATTGTCTTTTCTTCTTAAAATAACATTCTTCTATTATCACTAAGTGTAAGGAAAAAATTTAAACATGCATGATGGAAAGTGTAATTGGGAACCATGAACATATTAAAGGACATGGCCATGCCCAGAAAGGAGATATAGATACTTACTGATCTGAATGTAGTTGAAATATAGCCCATTTTTTTCTACACCTTGCCCTACAGAGGTGGTGGAAGTAAATTTGTCTTATTTGTTACAACCTGATAACAGATGTACTCAAAATAATATAGAAGCTGGTCTCCAGTAGCAGATATGATTTACCTGCCCCAGGGGGGCTCTTCTCTTGATTTCAGTGGCACACACTGCTTCAAGGCAAGTGAGTTGCACAAATAAGATTTCCATGAAAGGATCTATTACTGGCAGAAGTATGGTAAAATATCATGATATATGAATATCACGATAGCATGAAAAATATCTCATCACATAAAATGAAGACAAAAAATTGGCACGCAGATATTTAGATAGTAAGAAATTCTGTAAGCTGATTCACCTTGTATAGAAGAGGTGTGTGTGTGTGTGTGTGTGTGTGTGTGTGTGTGTGTGTTAAAAAGGAGACCTTTAATTTAGTACTTTGTTCTCTGTACTTAGATTACTTTGAAAGAAACCACATCAAGGAGAAAACACTATAGAGAATCTTGAATAATGTTGTCTAGCTATACTTTAGTAGAATCGTTTTGATTCTCAGATTTATTAATTCACCCTTGATACACAAAGACAGGCCTCATGTCAGAGCCCTGCCATGAAGATGCAGGGAGACCACATTCCTGTAAACTGAGAAGAAAATGATTTGTGGTTAGATGAAAATTTCAATGGTGAGCATAATTATTTAAGACATAACTTAACGATACTAATATCTGCATTTAAATCTAGTGTGGATATAGTCTTTCCAAAACCAAAAGAAGAAAAATACTAAGACATGAAGCTTAAGGGGAAGAGTGAAACAGAAGAGACTTCATTTCAATGATGCAATAACAAAAAAGTGTGTAAGTCCACCTAGTTCTTAGCTCTCTTAGTTTTTAAGAAGCAGTTTGCTGGAGAAAGGGATTCAGGGAACAGTTTTAACTTGGTGGTGTGTGTGTGTGAAGAATGGTGAAGTAGGTAATAATTGTAAATGTCAAATTGGGGTTTTTTAAATATAATATTGTATTCTTGTAACATCATCATAGGTAAATATGGCAAATGTTTTAGGGCATAGTGAAAATTTTCATGAAGTAGCAGGCTGTTCATTATGATTTCATAGAAAAAAATAAAATGAGTGAACTTATTTTAATTCATTCAACATTCAATATCTGCATTAAAATTTACCAAATTGAAAAATTCTAGTCCTTCAATGTAATATTAACACATGTACTAAATTCAATCTGTCAAGTACTCAAGCCAGTGATGAGTTAGACACATGCATTTTGCATCCTTATTGGCAAGTTTTGAATATTTAATAATTAATGCTAAAAATCTCAAGATTTTAGATATAAAAATAGTCAAAAGAAAATATTTATTATTCATCTAAATTCTTTTGTAGATTCAAGGAAATTATGTGTATTTATTTTATTTTGTCACTAAGATTGAACTTAAACGTAAATTAAACATCTTAAGAGCATTGATAGCTATCTATCATCTATCTATCTATCCATCCATCTATCTAAATATATGTTAGAAAGAGTTTTGCTCTGGAGCCCAAACCAGCTACTAAGTAATGATTCTTTTGCTTCAGACTCCTGAGCACTGGGTTAATAAGTACCTATCAACAGATACAGTTAGAAAGGATACTTCTATCCTCTTCTTTATATTACAATAAAATGGATCATTCACGTTGATTAATGCCAAACACTATGAAATACTTTTAGCTAAATATACCTGGAAGAGGGAATGTTGCTACTATTAATGGATTAGTGGTTTTTTAAAATACAAATATTTCATAATTGAGACACAGAATGTGGAAAATCAAATTATATACATTTTAAAATCTATGTATTTTCATATGGTGCTAATTTAAAAGTGTAATTGCAAGGAGAAAATGATAATGTAAATATGAACAGAAAAAAATTTTCTTTAAAAGTTCTTGAAACTTTGGTTTGTTTAGTGAAATCACAGTGAACACTCAGAAATAGTCAGCAAATTTCCTCAATATGTGTTTTTGTAACTTATTTCTTAGTTATTACCAGTGTACAAATTGGAGAGGCACTATAAGAAGCACTTGTTAAAACAAATTAAGACATCACAGCAAACAAAACTATATATTTTCTCTTTCTTTCTTTCTTTCTTTCTTTCTTTCTTTCTTTCTTTCTTTCTTTCTTTCTTTCTTTTTTGGTCTTTTTGAGATAAGGTCTCCCTGTAGCCCCAGCTGTCCTGGAACTCACTATGTAGACCAGGGTGGCCTTGAACTCACAGAGACCTGCCTGCCTCTGCCTCCCAAGTCCTGGGATTAAAGGCATGCGCCACCACAATAAAATGAAAACGATGACAATGAAGAATAACGAGTAATAACATGATTTGACAGAATGAAAGAAGAAAGATTGCCAAAATTCCAGGGTCTAAGAAAATTAGTGCTAATAAAAGCAGTATTGACCTTCTAAGCAGAAATTAGAAAAATGCCTTTGATACCTATGAAATCTGACTGATCTGTTTCAAGCCATAGTCTGATAACAGTTTGGTTTCATCTCAACATATGTATGTTCAAGAGTGGTGCCAGCAAAAAATATAGAAGGCTTGATTTGTATCTTTTGTATCTTACAAGTTTTGTGGAAAGCCAGAGCTTAGTACATTACTGCATCCGCCATTCCTTTCACGTTGGAAATCCATTTATTTCTTGAAGTGAGATGAGGTATTGAGAGAGAATGGTTCTCAGCCCATGATCCAAGTTGTAATGGTATAGGGACTTTTGAGCTAAGGAAACCTCATACTCAATTTTCTGTGAACAAAACCAGAGTTTCATAGATACTTCTATCTGGTTCTTGCTCAGCCACATTGGCTTAATCCTGGGAGCAGAGTGACTCTTTTCTAGACCCTGTTGTACACATAATAGAGACCAGATGCTGAGAACGAGGTTAAGAAGTGACCAGAGAGAAGCAGGAGGATGGTTTGAATGCTCTAGATCAGTGTGGTTTCTACCAATTTAGAAAGCATTGCATGATTCGTTTAAAGATGTGGAGAAAAACAAAACAAAACAAAACAAAACAAAAAACTGGTAGTGATGATACTTTGTGGTACAGTGTGAAAGAGCATGAGAGAAATTTGGGAAAGCAGCTAAAAGTCCTCTCAAGAAGGAAAGCTGAAAGATCACATGCTAAGAATTACCTTACTTGATCTTTTCCAACTCTTCCTCATTAGCATTGTCTGTAAATGAAATAAAGCATTTCATTATCTTTTCACGCTAGTACAGAGCAGGGCAGCCATTGTTTTCTAGGAGACATGTAACATTTCTTAGCCTTTTAAATGGCAAAATACTTCCAGCAACAACTACACAAGACAGGAATTGTTTCTACACATACACAGCTAGAGAAGCACCTTTAACACTCAGGTGGTCTTTCTCGTGAGAGTTCATTTGCTTTATTCTTCGTATGAAGAAATGAGACAGAATATCTTAAGTAGAATGGAAAACTTGGGATTTCTTAATTACCATTTGGGAAATAAATTGAGTTTCATGACTTACAATTGTCTCATTTGGTGGTGAGGGGTGAGGATATACTTGAATTTATTGAGTATGTAATTATTATTTTTTCTTCAGACTACATTTAAAGTCTGTTGATTTCACAGCATTTTATTTTGGAATCATTCATTATTAGAATTAAGATTTTTTGAGACAGTGTTGCCCTGTAGTCCCAGCTGGCCTAGAACTTGCTGTGTAAACCAGGCTGACCTGGATTTCACAGAAATCTACCTTCTCTTCCTTTTGAGTTCTGAAATTAAAGACGTTTGCCACTGTGCCTGACCTTTAGAGTAAATCTTTAATGTATTAGGGTCTACAACTACTTTGAAGTGAGAAAAAGGCTGCTAATTTTTCCACTAAAACATACCCTTATTTTATTTATATCATAGTGAGAGATAGTTATGACTAAATGTCTTAAACTTCTAGAGATTGTGATAAATGCCTAAAATCATTGTTCTCTTACATAGAATAAGTCACACCCTCCAATTAAAAAACTCTCCTCTTTACTTCTAAAAAAATTTTGTAGTGAGCACCGACTAACCCCTGTCCCCATCTTAGTTTTACAGGCATTTTTAAAGCAGAGACTATTTGGGGGAAATGCTACAGCTTCTAGAAATGCTTGCCATGTTAGTATTAGGGAAGTGCTTTAGCACCTTTAAGAACTTCATTTTTTCCAAAAGAATGATAAAGAAGATTCAATTCAGAAAGCGCCTTACAAAAATACAAAACAGAAAGGATTTTAATATAAGACTAAGGCATTCTTTGATTGGAACAAGGAGATCATAAGTGTGTAGTGCCTCTAGGATAGAAAATAAGAAAATTGTAAAATTGCTAAACACAGTGATACATTTCTTTTATTATGCAGCTAGTGGTTTTTAAGGGCATATTTTCTCTACATAAACTGTGTGCTAAATACTGACCAAAACACAGAAGAACAACAGATTTCCAAAGATTATAAAAATCCTCTTCCTTGTTTATTAAGTAGAGCCAGGAAATTGCAAAGTATTATTATCAAATACTATGATAGAGATATATTTATGTTTTTTAAGTGCTGTGGTACAATTTATTTTGGAGCAGCAACCCAATCACTGGATTGTGGAGATGGGCATTGGTGGACACCTAATAGACATTTGTCATTGATTTTAGGTGAGTAGTTGTCATCATCATCATCACCAAAAATGACAACACAATCACCTCCTCCACCATCACCAAAGGACAACTGAAAACCAAATTCTTTAGTGGTAAGCCATATTCAGAAAACTGTCCAATTAAGTGTTAGGTAATAAAGATCCAACTTTGTAAGAAAACATAATTTCAATGTATTGAGCATGGCAATTTCTAAAGACAATATTTTGAGTCAAAACAAGTGAAATATCTTAACTAGTGATCATTTACCATCATCAATTAGCATGTAAAGATCTTATAAAGTTCCATTCTGTAAGAAGTGCTATGCTTTGAAAAGAGGCTCAGAACATTAAGATGAGTGGACTCTGTGTCAACACTCAAGGGTTTAAGAACCCCATGCTGTTGGCCAGAGCCACATTTCCAGATACAAAAGTACTGCATACTTTGGCTTCTGATACCAAAAAAATAGACCTCTGGCATTTTTTCATGTCTCTCAGAACTGGCTTTATAGAGAGGCTACATGGCTGTAGTTTTCAAATCAGAAATTAATACAAGGAAAACAACCATGATTTCTGTTAATATGATCTGGAAAATGGAGCCGTTACAGGGACCAATTCAATACCTTCCTGACTCAGTATCGAAAGGTCTGTTATTAGATCCAGTGATTCTCAAATTGGCCCCAAATTTTATTGGCCCCAAATTTCTGCCTTTTTAGGTAAGCCAACTAGCTAATTAATGGATTAAGTTCCCCCCAAAGGCTCCTTTTTCTTTTTTTAGGTACTTGGGTTAAGGAGATTCAGTAAAACTAAGGCAACAGAAAAGTTAAAAAGCAAATGAATTCAATAGCTGAACTATTAGTTTTGCCATCTATGCGAACTGTTAAAGAAGAAAAGTTGTTTGAGGAATGTTAAAGAGATGAAGTAAATTATCAAAAAGTAAGATTTAAGTTTTGCTCTGTGATCTTAACCTCAGCTGAGAAACATATGAATTAGCTTTTGAAGGTGCCAGGGTTTATTATTTAGATTTAGACTCTTCATTAGCAGTTCAACCTTCCTTGAAGTCAATAAAAAGAATAAGTGACATAAAAATATGGCCAACAATACAATTGTGGAAGTCATTGTCTTAAAGATATTTAAAATCTCACGTTTTTACTTCCATCTTTTGTTGTAGTGAGTTTTAGTTGACTCTATTGCTAATGTACATACAGAAAAAAATCACAGAAGTTAGTATATACATCTTTAAAAACACATATATTCAACATTTTGTAAGTGAATCTTCTCCAAACATTGACTGTATAATAATTAGGAGATGCATCATAATTAAAGCATAAAAATGTTTAAATTCACTAAAGGCAATCTAGTATCAATTCATATGTTTCTTGAGATCTTCTAATTTTTTCTTAGCTAAGCAATTTGTAGATCTAGGTTATCAAAGAGAGTGTGTAACACAAATGAACTCACTTTTATGTCACAAATTCTCCAATGAAGAAAGCTGTGGATTGAACTCTGCTAGAAAAAGAGCCAGAAAGAACTCAAGCACACTATCAAACAAAATACCATATAGGACACACATGTATGGACAACATACTTTTGCAGGCTCCAAAACATGACATGCAATCAGAACAGAAATGACAGTTACCCCATGCAGTGTACTCGCATGCTGTCTGCAATGACTTTAGCTTCTTGTACACACAATGCTGGGGACTTAAAAATAGATATACACATATATGTTCACATCTGGGACTTTTAAAAATACACTCAATCATGTACTCAGTGCAGAAGATTTTAATGCTGGTAATGATGAAATACACTTACTGCCACTCCTACACTTCTTAAATTGCTGTAATTACATGGTGCATGGCTTTGAGGTTTTAGAAAGTAGGCTGATAGATTTTTCAACTTATTCTTTGGTTTTACTGATTTCCAGAAGTGGCAATCCACACAAGAAGAAATCATCCCAACTGCATTATTCATGGAGTGATTGTCAGTATTCAACAGTGCACACAGAACTCACAAAACAGCTGATTTAGAAATCTTAGTGCTTTATAAAACTAAGTACGATGAGCTTCCAGTTGCTCCGTTTCCCGTTTCTATTGCACTTTCTTAATGTTAATATTGTATTCCTACTCGATTGTTGGGACTTATTTGTTAAAGCCACTTCAGACTCATTTCTTCCATTCTCTATTTTAATTCATGTAAAACATTTAGCAAAGTTTTATAAACATAGAGATAAAAATAAACAAGTGTTTTTAAATTAAGTCTTATGTCCCCAAATCCTAAAATAAATTATTTCTGAAATAGTAACCAAAAAGAACAAGGCTCTTCTTACAATATTATGTGAGTCTCAGTGCAACATCATCCTCTGTTCCTTACATATATCTCATTCACACTGAGTAAGGCTGTGAAACATTCAGTAACTGATACTTGGTTTACTGAATTTTGAATTTGAAATTCTTTCTAAATAAGATGTGTTCCTGGATAATTAGTGAAAGTTTGACATGCTATTTTCACTGAAACAATATGTTCTATATTTAAAGTCTAAGAAATTTTAATCTGAAGATATATTGGATCTCTGAGTGGTTTTTTTTTTGTGGTTGTTTTTATCTTTTTGAGACAGGTTCTCCCTATAGCCCCAGTTGGTCTGGAACTTGCTATGTAGATAAGGCTGGCCTCGAATTTACAAAGATCCACCTGCCTCTGCCTCCCAAGCATTGGGATTAAAGGTGTGTACCACCATGCCTGACTCTCTGATCATAGTTTTTAACCAAGAAATTTCAAATGTGTCCCAGATGAATACACTTAGCTAATGCTAGACATGTTACACAGTGAAGAAAATTAAGTGGCATGTCTGTTATTCACTGACATGATTAGAAACTTCCAAGAAGAATGATATAGCTTGATTCAAAGTGGCTATCATTAACATGCCAATTTTAAGAACTTATCAAAGAAAAATAATTATTTAATCATGGCTCAATGGTATTTGTATCAACCTCAGGGATTTGAATATTAAAACAAGAATTAAAAACAACCTTAAAATTCCCTCCCTTTGTCCTTTGAAGCATCCTTTCAAATTATCATTGAGATAAACTTATGAGACATTGAACAACCACGAGGCATAGGAAATTAGACTAGGTTTTGAGAGATGTTCTCATAAGAAGATTTTACAATTACATATGTAATATTATATAGAATGTATGGTCATGAATATATCATACACATATGCCCCTTGCCCAGGATGATTCTATATAAGATGGAGGTGACTTGAACTATAGGCATATTTTCAACAAGAAAGATGATACTGAAGATAGCTTGAACTTGACAACAGGCGAACTACGGAGGAGTTTGTGGGACTAAAACAGAAGTTCTAAGTTGGAGAATATGCTGCTTGTGGGAAAACTCCTCATTAAGAACTTTGATTTGTTATAGAAATAGCTGTAGGTCACGAAACAATTACAAGAACAAAGGAGTTACAGAACCTGGTACAATGCTCAGAGATGACCACCAAGTTTGCTTTTATTTAATTTATTTATTTATTTACTTATTTATTTATTTATTTATTTATTTATTTATTTTTGGTCTTTTCTCTCTGTAGCCCCAGCTGTCCTGGAACTCACTATATAGACCAGGCTGGCCTTGAATTCACAGAGATGTGCCTGCCTCTGCCTCCAGAGTGCTAGGATTAAAGGTGTGTGCCACCATGCCTGGCTAAGTTTGCTTTTTTAATTCAGACATAAAACTATACATACTTACAAATCACCAGACATTTATAGAACATGTAGACATTTTCATTCAAATAAGCATATCCAGCTCCTCAAACATCATTTGGTATGACTATTTAAAATACTTTCTTCTAGCTCTTTTGAAATACAGAATACATTACTGATGTCCATGGTCACCCCACTGCAACAGCACACCAGACATACTCACTCCTTTGAAACTGCAACTTTGCACTTGCTCATTGACCAGTCTTTTCCCATCCTTCTCTCCTCATCTAATGTTTCCAGACTCTGGAAGCAATATTCCACTCTCAACTTCTCTAAGATGAAAATTTTTGATTCTAAACATGAGTGAATTATGTATTACTTCATTTTTACCTGGATTATTTTATATAGCACCTTATCTTCCAGTTCCTTCTATGTTATTGCAAATAACAGGACTTTATCCTTTCGTAGTTGTCTAGTGAACCACTGTAAAGTTTTTTAAAAAAATAGATACTGACTCATGATTTTTTAAAAAATTTAATAATTAGTGTTGATAAATTAATTACAGAGAGCTTGAGACAGTAGAACTAAATAATCAAAGAAACAGCAAACACCAACAAATGTATAGGCATTTGTAGGCAATTTTCATGCTGCCAGCATATACCTAGAAATCAATATTTAAATATAAGCACTTCCCCATGTTTTCTATTTCTGTCCCATCCCCCATCTTGCCTCTCCACTGGCATGTGATGTGATCCAGATATTGATCACAACCATGAGAATGCTCTAGGATGGCCACACTGCTCTCTTCTTTCCTCCTTGTTGGGTGTGACCAAGGTCAGGATGAGAAGTGAGGACTGTTCCCAGCTAGAGGCTGATCCAGGTGCAGACTACAGACCTTACTGAGCTCTGCCTGAGCCATCTCCTTCTCTAAGGAAGAAGAATCAGGGAAGAATAGCTACCAGATGGGAGGGAAGAAGACATCATTTCCCAAGCAGGCAGCAGAATAACCCAGCATAACCTGAGACTGAGAGTAGAGGACATGAAGAAAGTCAGTGCATGAAAAATGCCTTGCAGGAAGGAAGAACTCTTAAAAAAGTTGGTATCATCCAAGGAATTTAAGTTACGGAAATGGCATGAGGACTTAAGGAGGAAATCTTGGTATAAAGGGTGACTGTGGATGGAGATACACTCTGAAGAGGAAAGAGAAGGAGAAGATAGATAAAATGAGATTTGATGTATACCTTTCCCGGAACTCATTTGTTTTCTTTCATAATCATGTGTAAGAACTCACTGACAATCAACTGTTCTTTGCTATAATATTTTAATTAATTTTTTCCAATTAGAAATACATTATGCCTAAAATATAAGTTTGAGCAGTCATGGAAATTAAGGTATTTGAAGGGATTGCTAAAAAAAAAAATGAGAACAATTCTTGCCAGGGCTGACATTTTTTTTTTTATAAGTCAGAGAAACTCCATAGTTTCCTTTTAAGATCTCTTGGTAACTAACTTGATTCCTTTACCTCAGGGTGATGTTAGAATATTTAATAAAGATAGTTTTAATAGAGAAATTCCACTATCTGTCATCAAATCACCCAAATAAATAAATTGATAAATTACTCCAGTTTCCAGTAATATTACAAATTTGGATAGTTTGGAGTATACATAGGACCTTGGGCATGTGGTTATTTCATTCATGAAGTACTGTCCCTCATTAAAATAACAAAGAACATCAATACATGAATATGCTACCACAAAATTTTATTTTTTTTTTACCCTTGTACAGGCAAACCTGCTAATTTCCTTCTATCTCTGTCTCTGAGAGTTCTATATCCAACCTCCATCATCTTTCACTAGAGGTTTTGCAATAGCCTCCTGATTGGTCTCCATGCTTCCATTCCCATTCCATCAATCTGTTCCTACAATGTAGAAACACAGATCTGACTTTTAACAGGCAAATCCAGTCATGTCATTTCCCACCGTAGACCTTTCTATGGTTTTTCACTGATCTTTGGGAAAAGGTCACAAGCATTACCATGGACAAGACTAGGAATCTCTCTTTTGCTCTGTACTGTGTACCACGATTACCACATTCTTACCACACTCTTTGTGTCTATTTTCTGTAAGCTCTATTAACTCTTCAATTCTTGGAATGCAGTGAGCTTCTCTAGCCACATGCCCTTTGCTACTTTAAATACTACTAGTCCTGATTTTTTTTTTTTTACAAGTTCTTAAGATGTAGCCTTGGCTGAAACTTACTATGTAGACCAGCCTGACCTCAAAGTCACAGAGATTGGACTGCTTCTGCCTCCCAAGTGCTGGAATTAAAGGCACGTGCCATCATGCCGCTTACTCATTCTTCCTACCTCAGTTCCCATTTGACACCCTTAGAGAATCCCTGACCCTCTGACTAGAACACATTTCCTTTTTTTTCTTACCCAGAAACATGTGCCTTTTTTCACAGTACTAGACACAGTTGTCATTTTCCATTTCTCTCAGTGATTAGCTGGACACAAATTCCAATGCATCCCAAGTACCACACAGGAACTGTCTTACAGTAGACTCCCAGTGAACACCAGGGTTGTTTGAAAAAAAAAGACAAAGTAAACATTTATAAAGTATTCCTAATTATAGATTAGCCATGTAGGATTTACTTCCAGATTTGTGCTAAGTGAAAACATGTTTTCTCTATTGGTGATATCTAAATGATGGACTTTCATTTCTAAATACTCTTTGTGAAAACCTTTCCTTACCTACCCTTCCACCTGCACACATACATACTCAATCACACCATGCCAAGTTCTCTCACATCAGGGTAATATTTGAAAAAGAAAATTTTCTCAATAAATATAGAAACTTAAACCATATTTTTCAGATAGTACTATGAACTTTTATGTCCATTTAATTTTTAAAAGGAGGGAAAGAAGTGATCCTTAAAGGGATTTTCAAAATTTGAAATTAGAGTCCACTATTTCTGCCTACAACCTTGGAAAGAAATGTCAACATCTTTTTTGCAGATAACATACCAACTTGAATGATGTATTATTTTAAAACAGAAATATATACACTGCTGAATTAGAATATTTGAGCTTCTCTAAAAACTATATCTGCTACAAAAATGTGTTGCATCAGAACCAGGGCAGTGCCCAGGCATATGAAAGAACATTGAGCTGGAATAATGTCTGGCAAATTGCAGCTGAAAGTGCACACTGAAAGCACACTGATGTGGGTCAACTTTTTCGTGTCACTTCAACCATATGGGAGTAACTGGTTCCTCTGAATCCCTCGTTAGTTTCTCACAGCAGCATAGTGTGTAAGGAAGTACAGACAGCTAGTGCTGAGGTACGGGAAATATCAACATGGAGCCCCGTCCAGAAGATGAGGAGAACCCACTTATCACTCAGTAAACAACCGCCAGAAAGCAGAAACTCTGTTATAATTTCACCTCATTTTCTTTGTTATGTTGCACTTGACAATACTGTCACAATAGCAGAGTCTTGGTTACCTCAGTGTGAAATTCTAAATATTCAATTCTGTTATGAATGAATTCCTTGAAAGAATATCAATATTTGCCTATAACATGTCTGAAATTGAAAAGTAAAATTGTAAAGAGATGTTAAGCTACTTCTTACAACAAGAGGTTCTGATCTGGAATGTGGAACAAGAAATTTGAGGTGAAAAGACACAATGATCATGGACCAGTGATGCCCAGGGTACTCACAGAAACAAAAGACAGGCCGGTTTCATATGCAACTTCTTATGATTACCTGTGTCCAAAGGCTCACCGTGACATTTGAACAAATGGGAACATCAAAGGGCTCCTGCTAGGCTATGGGAGACTTACCACATCCCTGGGTTCACCTTCCTTAGGAGTAAGGACGACTGACAGCAATATGATTCCAAGGTCATGGTCAGGATAATGGGGATCTTTCAGAGTTAGGGTCACATCCGTGGGCCTGTGACCAAAAATATTTAGATAGTAACAAACATGTAGACGGCTCTTATTAAATACATTTTCCACACCCCAACACTACTATTTATACATAAGGTAAAACAGCATACTAAAGTATGTGAGTTTATAAAGTACTAATTTGATTTATACATGAACTGAGGGGAAAGAATGTTAACTAATTATATACAATAATCAGCATATCAAAATATACATAAAATACATACAGTCTCTTCAACTTTCTTTAATTATGCCATATTTTTTCATTTAAAATTATTTTTAACCAATAATTTATCTTTAATATACAATGAGAGAAATTTATGTTTTAAGTCTTGTAATTTGTATATCCTTAATGCAGAGGTCTATAGAAATGTGGTGTAGCCTTCATAGCAGAACAGCACAATCCATTTCAGTTTGCACTCAATACAAATGGTGATGGACCACAGATACCATCACTTTAGAATGCTTCTTCCAAAGGTAGCAGGCAGCAGTCTTTAGGTCAAGTTAGAGTTAAGATTTAGTTCGAGTGAAGGAATTGTAGGAAGAAGAGCAAAACCTGCACTTTTGTCCCATCTAATAACTTTTTAACTGAATAGTTGCTATTGAATGAGGAAGTCAGGGCAGATACTGACATTTCCTTGGGTAGGGGAAAAAGATGGGCATGAGAAGAGGGGTAAGCCCCATGGCTCACAGTTCATGACAGAAGAGTGACTAGAATATAGACTGGTGTGTTTTCTGTTCACAGGCTCAGCTTTCTAACAAGGTATAGCAATATTACAACAGTTGAGAATTACCTGTTTAACTCCAATTGAGTAAGGTCCAAAAAAGCTGAGCCCATAAAGTCATCCTGAAGTCCAAAATCATAGTCAAATACCTAAGAAATCAAAGAGACAAAATGTTCCAAAATAATTTCAAAAAAGCTTTTATTGAAAACATCTTGATTATAAAATATTGATTATCCACATTACCCAAACAATGCAATTTCCAGATATTCATTTTCTTATTTGTTTGTGTTTCTACTTTGGAATACAGAGTCTCACAAAACATTCAGTAAATTAATTTTATTTTATGATCAATTTATATCAAATAGAAGTTTTATGGAAGACATAATAAAATCAAACAAAATTTAATAAATATTGAAAAATATTGAAGCACAGGCTTAGAATACTTTTTCTACTTGATTGAAAATGTATTATTAGGGCTGGAAAGAAAGTTCAGTGGTTAAGAGCACTGGTTGCCTTTGTCAATGACCCAGGTTTATTTAGTTCCTAGTACCCACATGGTGGCTAACGACTATCGATAACTCCAGTCCCAGGGGATCTGATGCCTTCTTCTGGCCTCTGCAGACATTGTACAACATAGTTGCATTTATATACACATGGGCAAAACATTCATATACATAAAATAAAATTGAAAGTAAAGACAAGAAAAGATATTGTCAAATCTAGAACCAAAGTGAGTTTGTATGAAACTCAGCATGTATATCCTCTAGGTTGGGCTATGGGTGCTGAGAATATGATTCCAGTTTGTTCATATGTTTTAGGTCACTGAAGATACATTCTGTGATATTATAGGATAATGTCATCTTAAACATAAAAATAAATAAAAATATAGATATTATAGTTGGAGTACTTCATAAAGATATTTATCAAATTGAGCTTTTAAAAAAGGTTTATTTATTTTTATTTTCTGTGTGTGTATTAATTATTTTTCTGTTGCTGTGATAAAACACCATGACCAGGGGAGCTTATAAAAGGAAGAATTTATTTGAGCTTATGGTTCCAAAGGAGCCAGAGTCCATCATGGTGGGGAGGTATGGTGTGGCAAAAGGTGCTTGGAGCAGGAAGAGGAGTGCTCACATCGTCAAGCAGGCACAGAAAGCAGACTGTAGTTGGGAATCTGACAAGCTTAAGAACTGTCAAAGCCTGCCCACAGTGACGTAAGTCCTCCAGCAATGTCACAGCTCCTAAAACCGCCCTAAACAGCTCCACCAACTGGGTACAAAATGTCCAAATCTTGGAGCCTATGGAAGACAGTCTCATTCAAACCACCACAGTGACTGTTTTGCTTTCATAGTGTACCATGTACATGCCTGGTGTTCACTGAGGTCAGAAAAGGCATCAGATCCCCTAAAACTGGAGCCACAGACAGTTGTGAGCAACTATGTGGGTGCTGGGAATGGAACTCTGGGCCTCTGCAAGAGCAGCCAGTGTTCTCAACTGCGGAGCCATCTCTCAAGCCCCCACACTTTTATTTTTATGAGCAATTACTGGGACAATTCTACCGTGAAAATTAGAAAGGAATAAAAGAAAGAGCACATTTCTTCCTTCTGCTAACACTGCTCAGTTTCTACTTTGTGTCTCGCATGGCTCACATTCATTCTGCATTAAGGCAATATCTCTGGTCTCTTGGGTCCTATGCTGAGGTACTAAGGTAGTCAATAAATACCTAGATAGATGTATATAGTTCATTGATGAGTGAATGGGGACAAACAGAAGTTGAAGGGGCATGGTGGGCTACTGTACATGGGGAGGCCAGAATGGCCTCTAATGAGGCCTGTTTTGGTGTGTAAGATCTGAAGAATATAAAGGATATCATGCTAGTACAATAGGGAAGAACCCTCCAGTCAGAGAAAACAGCAAGTGAGGGAGTGAAGTGTTTAAGGATTGACAAGAAGCCAATGACATTGAGTTGAAGTGGGAAAGAAGGGAAAATGAAGGAAGTTGGAGAGATTTCAATGATTAGCCAGTTAGGGCCCTTTTATAAGACCATATAAATGGGAACTGGCTAACTCTCATTTATTTGTTAGTTTTCTCATTCATTTATTTCCTCAGGCAATATTGACCAAGTAAGTGGTTGCTATACGCCAGTCATTATGATGAGCACTAAATAAACAGTGGTGAGCAAAAGTGACATCATTAATGCTGATAGTTTAATGAGGAACACAGCTATTAAACAAGCAAGTGTGGAGGTGATTTGCCATTACAAGTTTTGATGTGTTTTAAATAGGGTATTAAAAAATAACAAGGGAGGTAAGAAAAAGCTTTTGAAATGAAAAATAAAGGTACTTGGAGAAGTTTATGGGTTTGTTTCCTTATCTTTTAAAATAAAAAAAATATTTGTTTTAAGCACTGGAATAAATGAACATAAAGGGATAAATTTCTTTCTGAAGGGGTAGACTCAGTCATCTGGGCTCTCTGGTGTCTGAGGCTTCAGGAGCCAAAGAGAATCAACTCGGCAGTTTTCTGTCTAGTTCTTGGCACAACACTTAGCTCAGAACAAGGCAAAACCTGCTGGTTTTTTTCTAGTTAGAAGAGTGTTTCAATAATAACTTTAAAAACCAACTAAATGTGCAAGAAATTGATTTTTAAGCAAAAAAGTAAATTGCATTAAAAAAGATTATTCTGATTTGAAGAATCATAAGAGAATTTATTTAAGTGGTTAGCTTCCCTAATGCCTTTTTTATTATTCAATTTTCAGTCATTTGATTTACTTACAATCTTTCTGGAATGCATTAGTCATAGCAAGCTCAGTAATCCTGCAATCAATATTGTTGATCAATTATACTTCTGAGCTTTAGCTATCTCCTCCATGGCATAGCGCACGCGTGAACTGAATGTCTTCAGAAACTGACACCTCTATATTTGTAGGGGGTCATCATAGTGTATTTACAGCACACACAAAAAAAAACAGAAATTTCTTGTGAAATTTCATAATTGTGTTGTTCTCATGTTTGAGGTTTTGGGGACAAGATAGGTGACATACGATCATAGAAAACACCTTCAGTACATCATATGAGGTGGAAGGGAGTGAATTCAGTGAATTGATCAGTAGACATCCACCCAATTGAGTTATCAACACCCAAACTCTCTTTACTCTAATAGAGCCTTTCTACTGTTCAAATGTTAGGTATTTATTTACCCTAGCTCTTAGTTCCTATAAATCAGCAAGGGTATAAACATTGGGAAAATGGATACATTTATTATTGAAAACATTAGCTAAGCTACTTGGTTCTAAGCTCTATAAATTATTTGTGGAAAGAACATTGCTCTCTCTGGGTGGATAGGAGAGAGAATAAAATAGGAAAAGTCTCCCACTGCCACAGCAACAAGCGCAATTAATATCTACTCAACACTTAACTACAAATTAGGTATGGTTCTAAACACATTGATTTAAAATTTTAATCCTTTCACAGCTCAGTTAACAAGTTTCTATTTCTCAGATAAAAAATCTGAAGCTCAAAAAAGCTTATTTATCATCAAACTTGAGGTCTAAGAAGAAGCAAGATTCAAACTTTGTACTCAGTTTCATAAACCAGAGGATATTTAAATTCAATATATATAACGTAGCCAAGCTGTCTTGTGGGAAGAATTGAGAATAGAAACATAAGTGATTTTACACATGATCCTTGCTTTCAAGGAGCCTCCATTCTGTGAGTTGGAAACAGTAGGTATCATTTGGCAAATTTGGCTTGGTAACACATTTGATTAGTTTCAAGTAAATTTAAAACAATAAATATTTTATAATGAACAATGAATTTAACATTTTGATTCAAGGTCAATCATGAAAATTTGCTTGGAGAATACATCAGTGAGAGTGCTTTTGGAGGGTTGGAGACGTGGCTCAGTGGTTAAGAACACTGGCTGATCTTGCAAAGGACCTGCGTTTGGCTCCCAGCACCAGCATGCCTAACAACTGTCCATAACTCCTGTTCCAAGGAATCTGTTGCCCATTTCTTGCCTCTGTGGGCATTGTACATATGTGGTACACACACGCACACACACACACACACACACACACACAGGCAAAACATGCATACTTATAAAATAAAAAATAAATAGATTAAGAAAGTGTGTTTAATCACAAGTGAGGAAAGTCAACTCATTTAATTACAGCTTCAGGACAGACTGGACTTGAAAGTTCAAATTATTTAAACCTTTACTCATTTATTTATATGAAAAATATTGAATGAACTCTTACAAGAGCCAGGTACTTTTCTAGGTACTTGAAATGTAGCAGTGAACAAAAACACTAGCAACGTTTTGATTTTTTGAAGCTTCAGTACGGGTGGAGTGGTAAACAAAACATGAGGTATATCAAGCAGTGATAAGTGTAATTGAGAAAAATATTTGAGGGTACAGAATGGGAACTGCTGCTAACTTAAGATGTTTGCGAAGAACAATGAGAGAGGGATACTTTCATTGAAACAAGGAGCCACGGTGACCAAAGTTCACTTCATAATAAGGGAATAGGAAAGCGTATTCCAAAACTGAAGAGGAAGTGGAAAAGCACTGAGGAGACAGGCCGAGGCTAGTGTGGTTGAAAAGTGATGGGCAACGATAGAGAGCCGGGGTATTAGCCCAGGCTTAGCCCAGGGAGCCTACCATCCAATGGCTTTGAGCATGGCATGAGGTATAGTAGAGGAAACTGGAAAACTTTGTGTGGAACTAGTAATCAGATTTATATCTTAAAATATTCCCACCAAAAAAATCCCTGGTGGATTACATTTTGTACTGAAAGGAAAATCAAGTAAGCAGACCAGTGGTACTGGTGCTGGGAAATGAATGCCTTTGGATCAGATGAGAAGTGGTTAAATTTATTTGAAAAATATCGAATGAACTCTTATCAAGTGATGAGAAGTGGTTACATTTCGGATATACTTTGATGGTAGAGTTGACAGAAATTAGGATTAGCTAAGTATGGAGAAACACAGGAACTAAGGAGGTACACAAGTGACCATAGCATCACAGAGCCTGATCTCCAGCTGGTGTCTAGGAGCTTAGCATTTGAAATAATTCCATTGCTATGGCTGATGTCCTAGTTTGTTCTTCATTTCTGTGACAAAATACTCTGACCAATACCAACTTGGGGAGG